TGTAGCTGCCTCTCTCTGTCTCTCTCTCACTCTCACTGCACTTCCTGCATTCCAATGGAAACAAAGTCTGAAGTCTTGAAATGCACATTAGGTTGAGCATACAGAAGCTGTGATGCTCTAATAAGCTAACTATAATTCTAATAATTCCTCGATTGCTTAAATGTGTCGATAAACAATTTCATAGTAAAATATTAAAAGAAGAAGAATACAGCAGAATATATGCCATATAAATATCTAGAGTACATCAATTTCTATAGTTACTTTATCTTAGATCCATAGATTGCCTTGTCCGTATTCATATATATTTTATAATAATCCAATATTATCGTCGATATCTTTATATACCGATAACATTTCGGGATTAAACTACTATTTGATAAGGATATTTCTATCCAGTTGAGAGGACTCAACGATACGCCATCTATAAACAGATATAGACAACTGTATGCAATGCAACATCAATTGGTTTGATATACCAATCAAGTGATTAGATGCTGCTCGATTACTTACCCTGAAGCAACTTCAGCTCTGTAGTTAACAGAAATTGGCTCAACTTTCGACACAATGTTAACCGCATAACATTGCAGGCATTGACTGAAGTCATGCGAAATCAGGTCAGTTGAACGATGCCTTACTTCAGCCACAATGATATGAGTGTGGCTTTAAAATAAGACCAAATGCAATGAAATATCTCAGATAATTGTTGTTGCACTGCAATTTCTGTTCCCATTGCTCCCATTTGGGGCCAGGCCATAGACTCAGCTTTTCATATGCCTATCGGCTACTTGGCTAAGTAGATGAGTCAACTGTATTCCGTAATCCGTTTCGTAATGCTAGTGCCTGAGCCAAAAACAAAATAGAAAAAGGAAAAGTAGAAAATGATGGGGAATAGTAAAGCAAACCAGGGCACAATTATGACAGAGCTCAGCACAAAAAAAAAAGGCAAATTGCTGACCCAAACTCGAACAAGTGCAGATCAGGCCAGCCACGACGCCCCTCCCCCTGCTTTGGCTGGAGGGACTGCGGGCAGTGTTTAGCTTGTTGAATGAGTGCAATAGATAGGACACGTATCTAATAAAATGGCTAGCACGCGTGTGTGCCAAGGGAAGGACAGAGAGATAGAGAGAGAGAGAGAGAGAGAGATAGAGACACATTGCCTAATGGGATACAAGCTTCGATCTGCTGTTGATACAGGGCTCTCGCTCTGAAGCTCAGCTGCTAAGCTCATTAAAGGCTGTCAAATGTAAATATGTGTGGGTGTAACAGAGTGTACATGTGTGTGTGTGTGTCTGTGTGTCTGTGTGTGTCTCTCTGTTGACTACTTGAAGTGGACATGCAACACGTCGCTGCCATTGGCATTCGTTGCCAAATGGCTGGAACTGCTCTGCTGGCAAATGCACTTCCTTAGCATTATTTCCTGTTGCGAATCGTTCTAGTTACATCCCCCCTCGCATCCCCTGTCCCCTGTCCCCTGTTCCCTGGTCCGTGTCCCATTCCGTCCTTGTGAATTTATTACGTGCAAATGTAAATAGCGGCACGTGCGCGGACTGCAGCCAGACTCGGACTCCGCAGCCAGTGGCAAGATGAATGCGCGTTCGCGTTCTGTCTGCCAATAAAAATTGTTGTCGTCGCCAAACAAAGGCGAGGCAAATGCAACCAAGCTGGAATAGACACACATACATACGCAAATATATATACACACACACGCACACACACAGCTGTGTCTGCTTACAACGCTTTGTCAATAGATAAAGCATCTACACGATATGCGATACACGATACACGATACTTTGCGTTCGTTCATGACTTTGCCACAATATGCACCAATTTATTGCTCTGCGCCTCCCTCTCTCTCTCTCTCTCTATCTCTCTCTATCTCTCTCTCTCTCTCTCTCTCTACTTGAGTAAAATATTTAACATCTGTATGCTAAATTGTGTATTTTGTTAATCGAGCTTGTTTAAATGATAAGCAAGTCAAGTCAAATTAGTTACTACGATCAATGCCAGTCAAGAGAATTCTCAACCCATTTGCAAAAAGAAATTTATTAAAAATTATATTATATTAAATTATTCTACTGTGCTATTACTCCACTGAGGAGTTAGAACATCAAGTACAGGTAGAATTAGCATCTGCAAAAGCCAAAAAGCCTCATTCCAACTTTATAAATAGATGTTTAGACTCCATTTACCCACCAATTAAAAGTTTTATTTGACATACCCTCAGTGAAAGTAAGATTAGTTTTCAGTTTATAAACATACTGTGGGTTGTTTTTATTAGTTTTTGGCCCTAGTGCATATGTTAGTTTGCATAGAAATTAATTTCCAGTGCATATATGATTTAAGTAGAAAAGGACTAGGGTGTCCTGTACTCTCAAATGGAAAATGTGAAACACAAAACTTTAGTAAGCCGATAAATAAAGTAGCCCATAAAATAAAATTGATTGAATTAAATTTTCTTTTTTTTTTAATAATAAAAATATATTAAA